ATTTTATTATAATCAAAACAGTATTCTAGAATTTAGAACTGCGCGTTTTGTTTTATAACATTAAAAACATAATATGCTTTTAATACATATTGTTGAAACAATGTGGTGAATCGAATCAATTCGTTTCAAATATTCGAACATTGTTGTTAAATTTTCGTCCGCCCATGGAGGTGACAAATTTCTGACGTAATCACGACATCATTACAGTTCCGCATTTCTCTGTCATAGAGTTAGTGACGTCGTTCCGTGATACAAATCCGAAAAGCTTTTGTTAACCGTGCTCCGGAATTTTAGGCACTTATTACGGAGACGCAAGAAGATCAATTGTTTTGTAATATTATACGTGTACTTAATGGAGAGCAAACGGTATGTACGCTGGTGTTACTCTAAGTGTTTTTCCATTAAATAAAAGCGCGGTTGTACATAAATAACGCTCAGTTAGAAGAATTTCTACTCATTACCGCAAGTAACCGTAACGGAGCGAGCCGGACCCTGTTTCAAACTAGTAAAATATAGTATGATTATTATTATATATTCACATTAAAAGAAACAATCTTAGCTTTTCAAACTGTGAGTACAAGTGAGACATTGATTTTAAGTCTCAATTTTACAGTTCAACGGCTGCCCCACCTCTTAAGCCGAAAGGCATTCGGCACAGCAGAAATAGGTAGGTCCTACAAACACTGGTTCACAAGATGCCATACCACCAGTAGTTTAAATTTTAAGTGCAAATCGAAAATGCTCTGAATTTATTTATCGATTAATTTGACTTGCTGATATTCAAATTTATAATTATGAGTATATGTGCTCGAACGCATTACTTTTTAATATCGAAATAACTTTCTCAGATTTGTATTCTCAAACGTGACATTTCAAAGCTGACGCCTATTCGGTTTGTTTATTTAAAATGCGCAGAAAATGCCGATATGTCTGGACATTAAAGATTTAATCGAAATAAAATTATCTTAAAATACAATTAAAAACATAACAAATACCTATAGCATATCTAATTACGTAAATTGTTTGGGTAAAGCTATTTACCTAAACGAACAGACGAGAACTTTTAAACCAATGAATTAAATTTAAGTCTACTTGAGTATACAAATCGTCTCGCTAATGTACATTAAAAGGTTGCAGTACTATAGTTGAGTCGACTATTATCAAAGCCGGCAATCTGACTTTTAGATCAGAAAAACGAATTATTGACTTTGTATTCCATTGGCAGTCACAAAACTCTTCGGAACGACATCTTAGATAAATAACAGGTTAACTATTAACCTTTATTTAAGGCAGGTTTTGAACCGTATTCTTTGAAGGAGACGATTATATTCAAATCAATCTGTATTGACATATCAATAATTTTTTTTTGTCCAAATGCACAGATTGCCACCTTTGATAATAGACGACTCAGTTCAAGACCGTTGATATTAAACCACAGCAGACATAATAATTTCGCAAAGTATTTCGTAACAGAACATATTAAGAGTGGCTCGACTCTAGCGAACATTTGACACTTTCTAGAATAATCTAAAACTAAGCTTTCAAAACTTTGCACATTACGCATCATATTCATAAAGCATTCCATTTACGTTTGACTTATTATCATTTGCGTGAGATGTTCTCAATCAAACAATTTCAATTAAAGCCTCTATGACGGTTCTATATTGTTATAATTTTTATAACATACTTTAAAAAATAAACAGCAAATGAGACTGAGAGACTTTCATATAAACTTTATATGCAGCATTCACTGATGAAAACTGTTTGTCCACAAATATTAGCTCTGTTATAAGCAACGCGGCATATTTATTTAATAAAAGGCAATATTTACCTAGATGAAATCCACGGTTTTCATTAAATAACGGAAAGATACAACAGATGTCGCTCTGCATAGTAATTGTTTGCAAATTTAAGCACGGGTCATCGCACTCGGATCGACTAGTCACTGCTTTCGCGTCGCTTTTGATTGTACATAGAACCTTATATCGCGAGTTACATTCGAGACATGAATAGTAAGTAACAGGTTTGACTTATTGTACACTAATGTCGACACGTGCTCTCTTAGAAATGAAAATGAAAAGGTCATGTGTACGAAATAAAAGTTTCCGATGTGACTGACGTTATATGTAGATCCGAGAGGTTTTCTCAATGAAATTATTTAACAGATAAGATTACTAAGAATTGATAAAGATAATTTAAAAACAGTTTCTTCGTCGTAGAAGTAGATGAGCTCGGGGCCTATCTCATGTAAAGCAATTATTTCATTCGATATTACCCTCATATTACTAGTCACAACACACTCTATTAGTTTGTAATTGTAGCTCAGAGGAAAATGAATCTAAAAATCACTAAAAACCACTAAAATCGAATAATTAAAAAAAAAACGATTAACTAGATAATGTCGCATCACGTCGCATACCCATACTATCTTCTGATTAAAAGTCGAACAGACTATTATCATATAAGATTCTCGGGCCCAGCTTTAAATATAATCCACATTTAGATGGGACACATGGGTCATCACAAAGCCAAGCCTAATCTTGTCCCTAGCTTCACAACGACTTCATTCGATACGGATTAAGGTTTTATTTACGAAAAACGGGATCAAAACATACACATGGCACAAGCATAGCGTTTTAAGCCTTGAATACTTAATTAGTAATTTATAATACGCTTTTATTGGCAGAGACGCAGACGAAATTACTTGATTTTGTTATGAAGTCCGCCTATAAATAACGATGCGATATCAAAAATACAATCTAACAAAATAATAAACTCAAATGCAAATTCACATGTAGTATTTATTGAAGAAGATTTAACAGTTTATCGACGAAAACTAATTATAATCGTTTCACGTTGAAATGTTAACGTTTGACACAGCCAATCATACGATCTTAGTCTATGGTCTTAAAAATGAATGGTCATTTTACGAAACACATTACGAAATAGTTTTTAATCTATGCTTACGAGTATTCGTGTCTTGCAGTAGTTTCATAGGAACCAAATATCAAATTGATTTAATATAAAATTGTGTCAAAATAATCATAAAATTCTTTTATATTGCACGACAAACAGAAGGTTCCTCGCGAATCGACATCATCTGTCCTGTTTTAGTTTTATTTTTCCTCTTTATGGTATTTATTATGGCCTATGTTCTTTACTAGCTGCTTAGCCTCAGTCGGATCAAAAATTAAATTAATGATATTTCTAATTCTTATAAGGTGATCGTGAAAATTAATCTTAGCATCAAAAAATAGCATGTACAAAAGTCCTGTGTACATAAAAGATGGCCGAAATTAATTCGTTCACGATTGCATATTTGGTCATGATTCGAAAGGTCACAGAGTGCTACTGCTCACCGTGACTATAACCAGAAACACCACGTTAAGTCGAGAACGGATATCGTGTCTACCATTTATAGATACGATATATTGTTACACAGTTTAATGGAATATTACCCTTTTTTATTTAATATTCGTGGTTGTGTTTTTGGTTGTATGGTTTAAAGCATAATAGTTAGTGGTGAAGAGGACAGTGATAAAAAAATCGTTTATTTTTACAATAAATCATTTTGAAAAAAACATAAAATATAAGATGTAACGAAGTATAATGTGTAAAAATATAATTAAAACTTAATTGAGCGACTACCAATTTGATAGCTCTGTAAAATTGATTAACCATTGTACGAGTATTATTCTTCACCGTGAAAAGGACTCTTTACACATTAATTAAATATTACACTTATTAGACGTATGTATGACTTGTATATGATCAGTATTTAGTATTTGCAACTCAATATACTTTAATTAGATGTTTCTAGTGCAACTATTCACTTGCAATTATTCCTTTGGATACACCAACAGCTAGTGTGACATTGAGGATCATCTTCTGAGATGTGGGATTAATATAAACATTTGCTAATGGACGATTTTTTTGACATATCTCCCGGCGAGGAAATTACTCCATAGAGCGCCTTGTCCTTCAAGGTAAAGTAGAAGGCACCAAGCTGCGTGGAAGGTTGCCCATGCGATGAACCGACCAAGTAAAATCGGCAGTTGGCGGTTGTTTATATGAGTGTACAAGGCTCACCACAAGCCGGAAGAAGTGGCGATTGGTCATGATGCGCACAACATCTGCCCACAGCAATGATACTAATTGACAATCACGACCGCTCTGACAAGAGTGATACGACAAAGAAGAAGAATGGACTATTTTATTTTATTATTAATATTTATTTTACTTTGTCTATTTCTTATTGTACTAAGTGCGGCACGAGACTACGCGTCAAAATAAACATGTCCCTTGTGTTATTTTATTTTGAATATCTTATTTTTACAGTGCTATCATGGGATCTTTATATAAAATAGTTAACCTTGAATCCGATTAAATTTCGACTAATAATTTCGACGACTATGTCGTGTCGTTTTTTTTTTGTGTTGTTTCTATATTTTCTGTCAGAAACATTTTCTATTAGTCACGTTAAGCCATTTTCATAAGCAAACGGTCGTAATTAACTGTTATGGGGTGTTGAACATGGCACGACCGCCGTTTCATGACATTTTAGTAAGCATCGCTTGTATTGGTTTCCATGATAATAATTACATCGTACTGTCACGTCATTTCATATAAACCATAGAAAGGTCATTGCAAACAATATTATATTTTCATACAGACTGTTTTTATCCCATGGGGTTTGACAAATAAAAGCAGGCTATGACCTTTTTAAAGGTTCAGGATATACACACTATGCACAAAAAATCAATTATCTTATCATATGGATAATGTCGCCACAAAGTATAAATGCAAATTAATAACCTATTTTACGTATTAATTACCATCGGACAACTTATAATATATTCATTGACATTTACGTTTCAATACCTACACAAATAGCTATATGACAGTATCTTGCAATCCGGTAATTTGTATGACTTTGGGTCTCATCTCCGTGAGAAGATAATCCCAGCTGTTAGTTAAACTTCTCAAGATAATTAACTTACTTGACATCCTCGATCTTCGGATACGAACATATCCTTAACGTTTTGGTGTTCGAGCCAACAGCGTACAGCTTCCCGTTGGGATGGAATTCGGCACACCGGACCGCCTGCAAATCCTCAAGCACTGTCACGGGCTTGAAAGTCGGTCTTGAATCACTGGATTCAATCCCTACAGCTGTCGGACCTGGGACAGGAGTAGATGATTGTGGGCCGCCATTTCTTGTCTGCATCTAAGAAAGAGGTTCATAAATTAAAATCAAAGGGAGTACGTTTGTTTGTATGCAATAGCATCGCCATCTTATTTTTCTCCAATAAGAAAAAATATACGCGGTAATAAGTGGGAAGGTTTGAAGGAGGCTTCAATTCAAATATAAAAAAAACGTGTCATGTCTGAACATCTCGAGTATAATTCACGTTGCAGTCTCTATCAACCACAGCAACGTCATCGCAAATGCAGGGCCCGATACCTTACAAAATGTACACAAAGTTTGGTAAAAACTAATAAAAAAATAACTTGGTCCGACTGGCAAAACTGCTTGTGCAAAGAAATCTCCAAACAAAGTATAGGCTAGTTATTTTTTCTTATGAATAATTTTATATGGTCGGTCCGTATCATTGAATTATGGAAATCGATGTTATTGGTTGTTACAACTTGTATTTCCCAGAGCGGTACTTGCCCAACGAAGATGTCTAAGCAGTCTTATGAATAAATTTAGGTGAGCCAGAATTCAAGAACGACTTTATCGTAATGTGTTGCGTTCATTGCGTTGATACGTACGCGGAAGCTGGTTTTTTAAACATGTTTTTTTCAATAAATGTCAATCGATATTTTTATCTTAGGAAATTGTTCAGTAATAACCTTTGATGATAACATAAATTTATTAACATTTTCATTAGCCATTCAATATAGGTAAGATTTACATTGTTTTAAAACAATGGAACTTTCATAAAGGGATGTGAAAATGTGGGTGGCTTTTTTTCACAAATTTCCTTTTTCTAATTTCATGCTGCAAATTCTCGGTATGATTCTAATAAGACTAGAGAATCTGAAAACTGTGTCTTGTGCTGTTTTGAAGCAATGATTTATTACTATTAAAAACTGTATTTACTGTTATAAAATAGATGGACTTCCAAAACAAAGACTTCGTTATTTGCCATGATTGTTGAATCATATATTTATTTATATTTATTTCTTTTACACTGCTTTGACTCATTGTAAATTAATTTTAAAACCCAAAATTACATTACATTTCACGAGAATCTCACGAAACTTTCCAAGCCTGCTTTATTAACGAAATATGTGATGTTATGAGATTCGTGACATGTCATCGTGTAAGTAAGGGAGACTCCTTATAAGCCTTAACTTTATTATGTTTGTACTTTGCGTGTACGACGGGGTTTATTTCATTACTAATATTTGGGTTGTTTTCAAGAATGAAAAAAATTTAGGTACATGAAATTAAATTAATGAAATTAAAATTCGAATAAGATTGGAAGCATGATTTCGCGTAATGTAAATGAAATAGTTTCGTAATATAATTAATGTTTTTAGTTTTTTGATTCGATTTTAAATTTCATTTTATGTTCTATTTCGTAATGTAGCCTGCGCTTGATGTTCAACGACAAACACGAAAACAATAACTGCAATGTTAAAGTTTGAAACAACTACATCGGCGTGTAGACATTGGACGCGATTCGATACGAGAGCGAAAAAAACAAAAAAAAAAACCTTTTAACGAATTTGTCAGCTTTCGGATTGCCAAAACCTGTGTTCTAAACCTGCATTTTAGGATGGTCGCGCTGTCAGACAAGTGGATTTTAATTTAAAATGTATGTAAAATATTATTTTTTTATTGCTTAGATGGGTGGATGAACTCACAGCCCACCTGGTGTTAAGTGGTTACTGGAGCCCATAGACATCTACAACGTAAATGCGCCACCAACCTTGAGATATAAGTTCTAAGGTCTCAGTACAGTTACAACGGCTGCCCCACCGTTCAAATCGAAACGCATTACTGCTTCACGGCTGAAATAGGCAGGGTGGTGGTACCTACCCGCGCGGACTCACAAGAGTTCCTACCACCAGTAATTACGCAAATTATAATTTTGCGGGTTTCATTTTTGTTACACGATGTTATTCCTTCACCGTGGAAGTCAATCGTGAACATTTGTTGAGTACGTATTTCATTAGAAAAATTGGTACACGCCTGAGATTCGAACACCGGTGCATCGCTTCAACACAAATGCATCGGACGTCTTATTCGTTAGGCCACGACGACTTTTTAATTACACCTCTTGAAAATTAAAAGTCACTTCCAAATTGGATTGGCAAATCTGATATATATGCTATATGTATTCAAACAAAATATCTACATGTAGAAAAAGTAAGAGTTTCAATGATAAGCAATTTAATTCGGATGATTCGAATGTAAACGTTTATTTAATGATGTTCACGTAATAGTAGTTACATTTTAAATAATATATTATTTCCGTTCAGCTCAATACGTTTCTATTCAATGAAGTAGGTGGTACTGTGAAATAAACTCGTTATTTTCGCCTAAAGCCCCTTTCAAATAATGCGATTCCTAAAATATTAACTCAATTAATTTAATGTATTTTAGGTTGAGTCTACTCTCAATTTTACGTTGAATACAATTTTTTTTTCCATTTGTTTCTCTTTTTCATATATTAACGTTAATTTTGTTTTTTCATTACTTTTAGCATGACGTATAATTACTTAAAATAAATTTACTCATTTACGTCAACACAACGATTTCTTCAAACAAGAAAGCTGTTGAGAAAATGGAAATTTAAATCAAAGTATTTTAGTAAAATGAAAATTAAATTTTGCATGACAGCTTCTTTAAATACTGGACCTAATTAATTATTCATAATATATGATTATAAAATACTACTACTAGCAAATACATAATATTTTATTTTGCATAACTTATTAAATATAGTTAATGCTTTGAAAATATCAACTCCACTTAATGGAATATTTTAATTTCGTCCGAATCATTTATTTCTCGCATTTACTGAAAACGATTTTTTATTGAGATGTTAGAATGCTTGTTTTCTCAAAAACACAACTCAACGTGAATTTTGTACCCATATTTCGGGAGGTGTTCAGAATTTAATCGTCTTCTAAAATCTTGGGGAGTCCTTAACAGAGCGAAGCGAAACTTGACGCCTTGACAAAGATTTATGCTCTACTAAGCGCAAGTCTGACCTCCCGTAGAGTACTGGAAGATGCCCATATATCCCGAATACTAGCTTTATTTGACACCGTGTAAAAAAGAGCCGTTATGAATGTAAATCATCCTAATCTCACGGTTCGTTTAACTGGAAATTCTGAGTCTACGGAGGGACTATGATTCTCTAAGCCTGGTACAATATTTTCTACATTTTGGTGCTGACGAATTATATAAGATCTCCAACACACCCTTATTTTATCATCGAAGAAATTAAAGAATGAAATTACTTTAAAATAGATATAAAACGAGATATACCTACATATTTTAATTAAAATTCAAATTCACGAATCACTTACTTACCTTTCTACGAAATATGGCGATAATCAAAATTAATTGTTTCAAGCCGTTATAAAATTGAAAGTATGTAAGTACGCGTTTCATTATTCTATACTTACTAGAACAAAACAAAAAAAGAGGCTACATTTGGTAATGGTACAGTAGGGCGTGGCGATACAATCCGACTCGAAGCGGTCCAAATAGATAGTAACTTTTAATTTCGTTCGTGCGGTGCTTCGTATTTCGTACAAAAGAAAGTTTTGTACTTTAACCGTAATGATATTTACTTTCTTTGTTTGAAAATAGGTATTTCTTTTATTAATATAAAATAAATTAATGAGCGCGTTTCGAAAGGCCTTTTGCGTAACACATTGACGACTATATTATTTTTTATTAAAATTAGATATTTGTAACGGCTGCATGGCTAATCTGAACTATATATGTAACTTTTTAATTGACGCATTAAAATACTTAGAATAAGAATCATATCATTTAATCGTCAACAATCAAACATCTATATAAATGCGAAGAGTTTATTTCTAAAAACTTTTATCTCACATACGTAACTGTCGATGTATTTTTTATTGTTCTATTATGATATATAATCGATGTTCATAAGGTTATTGTGTATTTTTATTCTTTAAAAAATTAGAAACGCAGCTTCGTATATGAAGCGATGTTGCGTAAGATATTATGATTGTTAATTTCGTGATTTAATCTGTATAGGCATCTATAAAATAAGAATTAATTAGCAATTATAATAAGATTTAAATAGAAATCCTAGCGAGTAATGTGTATTTAATATCACCGAGCGAGATTACGAATTGCATAAGAAATACGTTATAGATGATAAACTGCTACTACGTACTGCTTTTTACTTTACGATAAATGAGAAGTTTATTCTTTGTTTTTGCTATCATTAGCTATTCTAGTAATTACTAGTAATGTGTTTTTTATATAAACGAGTTTTATTCGAGTTATATATCCGGTTTTACGGGCGGTCTCTGGCTTCGAACAGTATACAAGTTTCTGGGTCATCATGATTATGACTTTTAAACAAAAATATAACGTTCGCGATTACATAACGTTCTTTTGAAACAAAAAAAAAACCTAATCGTGTCGTGCTACAGTTTCCACGACAGAATTCACACTCGCATTGCACAAGGTTCCACCGACTTGACGGCACAACAAAACAGCCCAAAGCAACGACCTATATTCACAGCATTACATACTTTGTGTGTTTTAAAACACACGTATCGAACATCCGTTACAGGACGGAAAGTTGCGGATCAACGGAGCTGAACGAGCAACTACGCAACAACCGCGTTCAACGCTCCGGGAATACTTATCAAACCACCTATAAACACATACTACTATTAAACAAATTTCGCTACGAGCTTCTCGCGCAAATTATTCACTTCGCTTGGCAATAATCTCGTTTAATAGCCTAGAAAGCGTATTTAAATTGGATATATCCGACAACCGTTTGCGAGTACCGATGTAGATATCTCAAAGTACGACGAAAACAACGTTATCGTTTTCAACGTTGTCATCGCACAATGAATCGACTCTGTTGTAGAAAGTTAGTTCAATTACCTGGAAGGCCGAAATCCGTTTGGGCGGTAATAGTTGTGGTCGGTCAGCAAGATTTTCCATCGAATGTCGAGTGAGAAAATTCTGCTTTTGTATAGGCGGGT